AAATCTTGTATCAAAATAAGTAATAGACATATAGTTTTAATTGTTAATGTTGCAAAAAAAATTATTCATTTCAAATTTCGCAGAGACGATCGTATTTTCATTTATTTTATCATCTTGAATAAGCAGATATAATCTATGATTGCAAGAAACTAAAAATTAAATTTTTTTAATTAAATTTTTTAAATTTCTTTAAATTTAATTTTTAGTTTTCTATCATAAAATAAAACCACTATATGATTAGATAAATACAATACAATATTTTTTAAATTTTAATGAAAAAAATGGTATTTAATTTATTTTATTAAAAGTTCAGTTACTGATGCAATTAATAATGATATCAATATTTTTAAATGGTTTTTTTTTAGATTCATTTGATATTTTTGATCGTCGACAAAACAAAGTTTCATGTGAATATTAATTACCTCTTTTACAATATCACTAATTAATAATTTTTTATAATATTACTAATTAATAATTAATAAATAATACAGAACTGATCATATTTTCTTATTCACAGCCATTAAAACATTTACCTTATTTTTTTAAATCAAAAATACCTATTATGTTACGCAGTGTATTGTTGAGTTTACTCGTGCATTACAGAAAAAAAAGAAAGGCTTACATCATGAAAAAACGCAACATACAACCTACCTGTAATTGCTAATTCTAAAATTTCGAATCCGAGCACAATTACCATAAAAATGATTTTCATTGCTTATAGCGGAATATAAACGTGTAACGATAATGAGATCTACTTGCGGAGATGCACCAATTTTTATCGTTATTGATGCCTCTTTAATGGGCAGGCCTTAATGATTATACTCGACGTTTATTTTTGGGAAAATTTTGCTATTCCGTAAACACAGTCTCGTACATTTCAAACGATTTTTAAAGGTCTTTTTGGCAAATTTTCTCGCTCTTTATCGGAAAAAGTTAATTGTTACAACGTACAAACAGGCGAAAGAAATTATCAAGGGACGCACCAATTACATAATATATAAAAACAAGTATTGTCTATACCTATAAGGTATGGTTTGCCAAGAAAAAAGTAATTAAAGCATCGATTGTGAAATTATCAAGACACTGTATTTTTATAATCTTAATTTTTTAAATGTTATTTTATTATTAACTATTACACATTTTTTACTAAATCAAATACTTATGTCTTGTTAATTGAACCATAATTTTCTCCGCATACTATTTAATTTTTAAAATTAAAACTTATAGATAATTATATTTCTTCCTAAATTTGTTAAAGAATATTATACTGACGTTGCATTGTATAATGTGACCGAATTATTCGTTTATATAAGAATATTTTGTCGCAATTTAGTTTGATTAAAGAATTTCATTTTTCAGAATTTTTATTCATCCTATAATTCGTACGCACGATGGATGGTCATTGTGCACCAGAGAACATTACTTTGTCGACTTGTTTAAAAAAGAAGTGCCGCAGTCTCGTTCAAGTTCTGCTCGCGCTGTCGGCATACGAAAAGTCTTTGTTCCAATTGGTGTATGCGTACATATCACAGATATACAACACGGTTGCATACATCTTTTCTCTCCGGAGTTCCACTAATTACGGAAGCGTTGTGTAAAGCCCGCGGCGCGTGTTTCACATTCTTCCGAGCCGCTTTCACGTTGCGTATATTCCCTTTTAGCATCAGAATTCCATTCATTATTACAGCAATTTTTTCATTTCCCATGTTCCCTAAAAGATGCGCGCGCAGTAACACAAAAATGGAGAATTAATTAATCAAACAATACACTGCATTCGTCGCTATTTTGCGATTCACGCACTCATTAGCGAGTTTTAAAAATCAGTTTGCATTACCACAAATTACGTCTCTTACGTGATTTTTCTTTCTCTGAATGATTTGATCATTAAAACGTAAATTTTTTTTTTAACACAAGAGAAAGAGAGAGTGAGAGAAGTTGTTGTGACGTAAGAATTGTAGACAGTATCAATTACATTGGTTTTGCGAGAACAAACGCCTTTGCAGGTTTCTACAGAGCAATTTCGAATGCAAGAGTTTTACGAAGACTATAAAGATTACGATTATATGTTTACGCGTCGTACTTCACATACCACTATCTAAGGAAGTGTGATCTCAAAAACGCGGAGCAGAAAACATAGCTTGCAAGAAATGCATCCTCATACGCATTTTATATATTGCGGCGCGACGTTCCGCAATATTGCGATCGTTTTATTTTATTTTTTTTTTCTCTATTCTTCCGACGATGCGTTTCTCTATTTTCAATTTTGCGAATTTATCGTCGCGTTAGCGGCGAAATATAAACTTCTCATTCGGTGCGCGGGTCGCGTGCAATATTGAATATTTTCGGGAGCTAAAACACGGCTCGCATTAGCGTGTTTTCCTCCCATCCCTCCGTTCTCTCGCGTCCCGCTCGGAAATTTTTCATTTCTCCTCGCGGTCACGCTTTTACGAGTTTTTACGTATTTACTCGGCGAACGCGCCCTTTCGACGATCTCGAGCGTCAAAAAATAGCTCCGCGCGGGAAATCACTCATTGATATTAAATAGCTATTCAGAATTATTCGGTTGTGATATCGGGCGTAAAGTTAGCACCTCATTTTTAATTGTTATTTTACCTTGGGAATAATCACATCATTTTTTTGCGTGAATGATTAGTTGAGGTGTTTCTATACTTCAATTGAAATCACTATTATCTATAATACATTATGTATTTTAATGATTCTTTTCCTATTTATTAGTATTTGAGAACACATTGTGGATTAATCATAATTTTTTTTTAAAAGTTAAGTAGAAACTAAATAAAACATCAAAAGAAGTATAAATAGGTTATTATGACATTATTTCTAAAAAGTAAGAATTTTAGTTAATATAACGTTTTTTTTTAATTGCAAATTTTCAGTAATATTGCATATTTTGAGGCTCATAGAAAATAATTATTAAGAAAGTAGAAAAATATGTTAAAGAAAAAAAAATATCCATACAATATTTTACAATTTATTTTTTTTTTTACCGCTGGGGTATAAAAATACTCCAGGTTACTATTCCGGAGTTAATAGAGTTAATAGTAGTAATCGCTAGAACTTTTTAAAAACATTAAAGAACTTCTATACTCTTTAAAGGAAACTAGAACTCTAATCAAAACTCTCGAGAACTAAAGTTGAGGTGTTAACTTCACAAATCAATGCTGTTTGTCAGACTAGTCTAATGAGCCACTAATTGACGTGAGATCATAATAACAATGATGAAATCGATATTAATAACGAGGAATGATTTACAATCGATCGATCGGTTTGAAAAGCCGATGGATTAAAAAATCATTAATCCCCTGGTGGTCCGGCGCGGCGCGGCGCGGCGCGGCATACGGCCAGGCCGCGGGAGAACCAACCGTACACAGTTGACCGTTGCGAACGCAACGGTTATACCGGGACAAATATTTGCATTCGCGGTATTAATGTGATCATCGGCATTGTCGACCAAATATATGACAATGACGGCCGACGGTTTGACGTGAGCCGTGCGCGATTATTAGCCCGCGGCTCGACACCGTATACGCCTGTAAATATTGCGTGATACTGCTGCTCCCGTCGCCGTGGCTGCCGCGCCGCTTGCTCGCCAAAGAGGCTTTTGAAAATTCATGCGAGCGTTACCCCGGGCCTTTGAATATATCGCTAGTATTTATGCAGAACGCCATTCCGCGACCGCGCCTGTTGTGTCGCAAATCAATTTTTTTTTAGAACGCCCGTCCGGTTATCGTAATTACGAGCTGTTTTACCGGGGATTCCGATAGCTGCTTTTACCGAGGATAATTGCTGCATTATAAGTTTGATAATCCACACGCCCGTTTTGTAGCTCGTTGCCCCGAAATAAATCGCTTTGTCGTAATATCCACACCAATTATTTTGTAATTTCGTCGCTGCGAAATACCGTCGGTTTGCCAAACTCATAATTCTCATCGGTCACGTCCTGCCCGAGCTTGTGTGCAGCGATACGATTATGACAATTGTAGTCTCGAACGTTAATTATGAGGTTCAATCGAGGTAATTTTTCGCAAAACGCCTGCGGATCTCATCGCCTTAAATTTCGTGTTATTATTATAAACGTAATTGTAATTTTACAGGTAAATTTATCTTTGTAATTATTTTCTATGCCGATTAAATTATCTAACAAGGAACATCAATCAAATATCCTCATTTTGATGACTTTTGGATATAGACGAAAATAAGAGACATATTTTTTTTATAATTCATTTCTGTACGTTAAATTTCTTTTGTTGTTTCTTTTTCTTTCTAAGTGAATGATTTTTTCAATCTATATAAAAAAATTATTTTAACAAAAATTAAAGATTTTTAATGTTATTATTATAAAGTACTTTTGAAAATCAACGTTTACTTAAAATATTTCTTTATATCTGATGATTTACCGTTAAATTGATAATTAAATAAATAATCAGATTATATTCAAGAATTTGAGTTGTTTTTAATCATTTTTGTAAGTCGCCACTGTTCTTACTAAATAAATCGTTAACTATATATAAAACAATTAAATTTAACACTCTAGAAAATATATTAAATTTAACTCAAATGTACTTTATTATTTATCAAGTGCAGTTAACATGGACGTTATTTACTTTGAAACTAATTACAGAAATGAATTAATTTACATTTTGATATATATGAGATTAAAAATAATAAAATGTTATTAACTCAAGAGATTGGGTTACTCTATTATTGCTCCTATAATAATATCCAATAGTGTTAAACGATGTTCACTCAGGAAGGAAAAACCGATCTCTCTCTCTCTCTCTTTCTCTCTCTCTCTCTCTCTCTCACTCTCTCTCAATATCAATATCTAAAGCTTATTAAAATAGAAGGAAGATTCCTTTTGTTGTGTTTTCTTGTAAGAAATGTGATGAGATTTCTTATAGATCGATCGAGATAAGATTCCTTATGAATTATAAGTCAATCGATTTTGTTTCAACCAAAACTTGTTCTGTATGTTACAGATCTTCACGCGCTATGGCAAGGTCCTGAAGATCGTCACCTTCACAAAGAACAGTAAGTACCGTGTTTAAATATGTGTATCGTCATTGTGTCGCGACCTAGAATCGATGTGCCAAAGGGAGAACGAGCGAAGCTTCTGTACTCTCGCAAGCGCTGCACAGATTCCGCTCTCATTGGTAGACAGGCCACTCGGCACTTGAGTACTTCAGTGTGCTTCAAGTGCGTCCTGGCCTGTCGGCGTCATTGCGCGCACTTGGCGCCGTTAGTACTTTCGCAATCGCGCCGAGTGCCCCAAAGGGTGTCTTCCTGATATTCATCTCGAAGCGAAATTGTTGCGAATGTTACGAAATCGGGGCCAACGATGCGTGAAAATTTAATGGCAGCAAAACGTTTATTGTATAAGGATCCACGTGTCACATCTCAAAACATTACCAAAAATATAAAAATTTTATTGTTTATAATATATGAATGTCTATATGAAATTTGAACAGAATTAGTCTATTGGTTTAAAAGTCATTTACTTTTTTAAGTTATTTAATTTTTTTATTTGTATATGGATTCTTATATAAAATCGCGTTTTGTAATATTTATTACAAATTTTTGATGAGGAACTATCATTATAAATTAAATCAATTTTTTTATAGATACCAATAAAACTGTAACAAATATTCTCGGTTAAAAATTTATTATAATCTAATTTATTAACTCGTTTAAAAGTTATTTTTACTTATTTAAAATTGCACCAAAATATGATCATTTTACATGTACAAGCTAATTATTTGTTATTTTCTTTTTATAGTTGATTAAGGCTATTTATGATCAACCTTTTTTTAATACTTTTGCAGCTGATGTACGGTCAAAGCATCCTTAAATCACGAATTGTGAATAACTTACGAATAATAGAAGTTTCCTCAGTGCAGCATAACAAAAAAGAAAATACCTGAAGACATATTTGGAATCTCAATGCACCGGTGTCTTAAAATTTTCCCTGTTCTAATCGAAATCGTTAACAGAGAGTTGGATATTGCGCGCAATCTCTCGCTACACTCGTTACATAAAAGGTACAAGGAAAGCCTTCGGTACGTAGCTGGCGAGCGTGTTACTAATTCATGTTTGCAGTAGATGAGCGCGAGAGAACATCATTATTCCGCGTGCGCGTGTGCGTGGGTGTGTGATTGTGCACACATGCGTCGGTGTTCGTTGCGTCGCAACAAGCGATGCGCGAGTCGTGATGTCGAGCTTTCGCGTGGTTACACACATATACACACGCTTCGGGGGTCCTCCCAGAATTCAACAGGGATCGCCAGCAGGTCTCGACTGCGAAACGCCACAGAGTCTGTGTTTGCCATCTACGGCCTTGGCCCTAAGTACAAAGCACCCTCATAATGAAAAAAGAGTCTGGTTGCATTAATTGGAATTCTACTTGAAAAGAGATATCAGAATTTTCTGGTTGATTCTATTATAATTCTACTTAGAGTAACAAGAATTCTAATTGATATGATGAAGAATCTTCTATGTGATACGTTTATTTTCAAGATATTTCCAGATAATTTTCTCAGTGCACAAATTGACGTTTTATATCTAACGAAAAATAAGTCAAAAAACAATATTTTTTTATCACAATTTTAATATTATTTTATTAGTTCTTCTGCTGCTGTTATCGCTTTTTTCCCAAAAAATGTACAATAATAAAATTGAGATTCTAACATTGATAAAAAGTATATACGAATCTAACGCAATCAATGATGCGCAAATTTTTTAATTAAAAATTGTTTTTAATTAAAATTTATAACAACAGTTAAAAATTAAATTGTAAAAATATGTGTTTTAATATTTCATCTTTAGCTATTTTTATGAATTTTAACTAAAGACAATTTAAGTTGAAAAATTTGAATATTATTAATTACTTTAGACTGATATAGCCCTTTTATTAATATTTTAATTTTATTTTATGTATATATACATACATATAAGATTTTAATTACTAATTTATTCTTTTTTAATAAATTGAGGATGCTTTATTTATGGTTAAGGCTAAATAAGGGAATACGTAATCCCGATGAAAAATTTTGCCGTTTCGCAAGAAACTCGCGAATAACACGAGGATTTTGCGTTAATGCAAATACTTATAATTTTGCGCGTTATCGAACTATACGTGAGGGGATGTCACTCACGAGCAGCGAAGGAAATCTCAGACGATATTTTAATTACCTTCTAAATAACGCAAAATGAATTACTCCGACAGTAAATAGCACAAAAGCAAAATCGTTGGCGGTACAAAAGTAAATTATCCCGCTTTATTATATTATTCTGGCTTACGACTCGAATCTCGGAATTTTCAAACGAGAGATTGCAATAAAAAACTTTTCAATGAAAATTTCTGCGTTTGGTTACTGAAGCACGAAGCTGCGTCTGCAAGCAAAGTAAACGTTATCATCGCGATTACCGCGTTACCACGGCCATTCCGTCTGGGGGAAAGAAAATCACGATTGTCATGAAATGAAAAGCGGGGCGCGCGTCATACTTCTTTTTCTAACGTTCGTAACATCGGGGCTTTCCAACGCCGGGGGGAAGACAGCTCTTTTTCGCTTCCGCAATTCAGATTCAAAAATTAAATAACATTGCCGCGGGCCGATCCTTTGTTTCGTATCATACGCGCGCGTAATGAAATATCACAAGTGGGGCGCGCACGGCATAGTCGGAGTTGTGCGAAAATTTGACGTATACATATGCGAGATTAAAACTCGCGAAATTGCAATTGCAGGGGTTGCCTTGCGACATTTCATTTAATTGAGATTTAATGACAATTATAAACCTGACCGCCACACGTGCACATATATGACTGGATGCGAAAAACGAGCGGCGACGGTGTGCTGTATTAACTTATTCGCAAAACATTCGGCCTGCTTGCCAATTTTAACTTTTGCCTTCTTTCGCAATTGTTTACTCTCGTGAATTCGTATCGCGATTATATGGATCATTTATCTGTTTATCTTTTTTTCGCTCATTTTACACTGTAAAAAAAGGTATATAAAATTACATAATATATGTAAAAATTACATAATTTATAGTGGAAGTATTTAAAATTATGCGTTTTTACAAAAATTAATACTTCTATCTCTAATCGTATAAATATATCTTTTTATTGGATGGAGAAGTGCAGTAATATATATGTGTATATATGTCTTTCTATAAAAATACACAAATTTTTGTAAAATTTGTAACGTAATATGATAATATTGCATTTATTATATTTGTGTTCATGTTAATATTACATATTATTCTTATACATTATTGTTACATATTGATATAAAATTTATAAAAATGCATAATTTCTTGTTGAATTATTACGTAAATATTTTTACAAAGTTATGATTTTATTTACGTGTATAAATGTACATTCTTTAATAGCGAGTCCCAAAATTATCTGCTATAATTATTGTAATGTTACTTGAATTTTTTTACAACGTGATAAAACAAACACGGTAAATTAAACGTCTGTAACTGATTATCAATTAAAGAGTTGTTACTTTTTTAATAGATACATCAATCAATCATCTTGCTAAATCTACTTTAATTGGTAATTTTCAGAAAAACTTTGACCTAGCTAAATCGGCAAACTCGTTAATTTTAACGTTTATGAATATTTTATCTTCAACGTCGTACAATTGTACCATATATGTGTATTCTGCGGCAAATTTAATCAAACATTTCTCTTAATTCGCATAAAATCCTACATATACGGAATAATTCTGGATTCAGGAAAATAAAAGGTTCCTATCAGCGTGAAATTGTGTGCGTGTGCGTACACGCGCGTGCGCACACCATGTTCAAGCTTTAACGTATTATTGTAAAGAGTTCCATTATCACGGTGGAGCAAATTTGTAAATGAAATAACGTAGCTGCCGGCTGGAACTTTGGTCAACGCTGCTAACGAAACAATTCCCGCTTTCCGGCCGCACGGGAAAAATGTATTATCATGACAGAGTTAGTTTCTCGCAGCGGTCGCGCACTAAATTAACAAATCACCGCTTTTTGTACCCAGGATCCAGTCAGTACTTCAAATACCACACGCATTTAACGCAAAAAAAAAAATGTGTACCGTTTTCTACTTCGAATCAAATTTTCAAGAGTTTACATATTTTGCATTTAGAGCTACATTCTCGATGGCGTTTTGCGCGCCTTACGCTTCCAATGTGTTTCACAGAATATTTCGTAATTTTCATTTTTTGGTTTTTGCAGGTTTATTTTATACCTTGAAAGTTTGCTATTACGAGAGAAAGGCTCCGGCCACTTTTACGGAGTCGTTATTTACGTAACGCAAATCATGCAAAATTGCACGATACGCCATTAGGGAGCAGAATGAGAAAATAATCAAATTTTGCGTTGCCATCTTTTAAAGTGTATTATTAATTACATAATTTAATTACATTATTACATAATAATTATTATTACAATGAAAAAACGATTTTACATGTGTCGAAGTGTATACAAATTTAGCTAGATATAGATAAAAAAATTTTATTTGAACCATCAAAATAATTATATAGCAACGCTTAAGGATGTTATTTCTGTATAATTCTGCAAAAAATGGATTAGCAATTTATATTTCTGTATAAATATATAAATATAATATACATATAAAACAGTTCGATAATATCAATATTTAATAATATAATTTTTTAATTTAAATGAAAATGTTTTTATTTTATCTGAAGTATTTTTTTTTAAATTTGTCTACTTATTAAAATAATTTGTTATATTGTATTTTACCAAACTTTTTGTATTATTTTCATACACAAATATATAATATAGCAAAATTTATTTTTAAAAAATTTTTTTGTTTTGTTAAAATATGCAATATTTTAAGAGTTCCACATAATTATTTTGATGATCTAACAAAATTATCTATTAGATTGTTAGCTGAATATTTTCATACTTGAGCAAAATTATTTTTTCCATGTTACTGATATATTTTCCCGCTCAATGCTGCTATCTCGTGCCTTACCATTCGCGATGAATTTATCGGCCATCACGACTATCCATTCTTTTGCGATCTCGAGCGCGGCTTGTGCGGGAAACTCGTAAAATTCACGAACGGACGACGTAGTCTCATGGTTTTTATCGCTTCTGTGTTCCAGGCTCCTTCCAGGCACTAATACAGTACTCGGACATGTTGGCGGCGCAGACCGCTAAATTTGTAAGTATCCACTTGACTTCGCTTCCACTCTCTATCCGCCGCCTGTGCGTTCTTCCTTCATTTCATCCTTCCGCCATCGGTGCGCCCGTTGTCTTCCTCTTTTTTTCTTCGTTCTTTCGTTCTTGTCTTTTCTTTTTTCTTTTTTTTTTGCCCCTCTTTACTTACTTTTTTCTTCGTCTCCGCCGTTACGGCGGTGCTTAGTCGTTAAGCTCCCACGGGACAGATCGAAATTTTCTGCAGAATATCTCGCGTTGGGAAAATATTTTCCGAGATCCGCTCATCTCGACGAAAGCCACGGCGTGGGGCTTAATTGTCGGAAGTAAGCCCGATGAATGTAATCGAAAGATTGATGGCGGAAGAAGGAATCCCGTCGAGGGTGGAGGGGAAGGAACGAGAAGATCGCGCGCGGTTACGCCCCGATACACGGTATTTCCCCGGATTTATGGAAATATCGGCTGCTTTGCAAACCAAATTAATTCTTGAAGCAGACTACAGATGCGCGATCGATCGTGTTGTTCTCGCTCTGTTCCTCGCACTGTTCGCGCGAATATCAATGATGTGGACTTCGATTATAGCGTTGTAACTCTTCGTAAAGAAAAAGAAATGTATTAGACTTCAATCTTATAATAATCGTCGCGTGATCGTTTAATTCGCAAGATTTAAAATTCCATATTCCGATGATAACTACTTCTATTTTTCTTTTCTTTTAAGGAGGTTGAGAAAGCTGTAGCATTAAACTTGCCGCTGCTTAAGGTATTACGAGTTGTGTCTCTGCCGTAAATTTTGTTTTACCTATAATTCTCTACGTAATCGTTTCGTCCCTGTAATTACGAGTTAAAGTACTCCACGTGTCCTGACGATAACTACCTTTATCTCCTTGAGGAAATTGAGAGACTTGCAGAATTAAAGCGGGCACTGCTTGAAAACAAAAAATGGAGAATGTGCGTGTAGTTTCTGTTCCTAGACTTTGTCTATTATGTGAATATTACATAACTAATTTCCGCTATATGAATCCGTCTATATCACACAGTTTCCTAACAACGCACGTTGTATCATAATGTAGAACACCTCCGCAAAATTTAGTTTTACTTTGAACAATTTAGGATACGAAGAGAATTTCATAAACTCTCTTTCTCAAGAAAATTGAACCTCGAATTAACTCTTTTAGACTCCTGATCGTAACTGTACATTAAGCTTGGCTTTCTCTTTGTTGATCTAAACAATTTTTCCCCCGTTTTTTTTTTTTAGAAATTTATTGTACATATTGTGAGTTTATTATTTATATAATCGGCTTCTCCCAGCTGTCTTATGAGTGTTTGAGATACTCGATAACTTTTGTGAAATGATGTGACGCAATCTACTTCGTCGTCGGTGTAAATACTGAAATGTGTGTACTAATTTTCTCTGTTATTTAATTAATCATTATCATTTAAAGCCCGCCACTTATGTTCATTTCTACTAATGTACATTAACTTTAATCTCGGGATTTCACTTACTCTTTAACTTTTTCTAATTTTCAGAATTAGAAAAAAATACAAAGTGGAGAAGAGTTAACCCAAGATTAAAATTACTCTAATTAGTAGAAATGAACATTATTCAACAAGAATTATTCAATAGCATTGATACAGAATACGCCAAGGTATCTCTACCTTTATTTCAAGATTCGTTTAAAATAGAACGGAAATTACATATCTAAGAGACATTTTATAATGATAGGAAAGGACAAGCAGATCCGAAAGGATTAGCGAGGTGCAGCTGCAACCATTTCATGACACTTGGAAGTTACATTAGGAATTAACTATGTCGGCGTGCTCGCGTGCGGGATGTGTTGCCGCGTTGTTTTACACCGGCAACGACAAGCCATCGCGAACGGAAGCTCGCCAGAAACTTCCGTCCCTGTCCGCCCCCCGTTCGAATCCTCTACCGCCGCGTTCGAAAGCCCCTCTACCTCTCGTCGTGCCTCACCCCCGCACCGTAAGCTCGACGCCACAAACTAGTAAACCTGTGCGATGATCAAAGGGAAAATTAATTCGCTTGAAATATACCGGTTCCACCGCGAACCAACCCGGTAGCGCACAAGACAGAAAATTAATTTAGCTTTGTTGCGGATATCGCTCTTCTCCGATTCTCCTCTCCTTTTTTTACGCTCTTTCTACTCTCTCCTTTTTCCTTTTTTTTTTTCCTCGATGCGTGTGCTATAACACAAAACGACAATGATACCAGCCGAATTCTTGTTGAATTTTTTTTTATTATACGCAAACGCGTATAATAAATTTGCACAAATTGTATGTATATATATATATGTATCTCGATGATCGAATACATTTTGAATCAGTTTAAATCGAACATTTTTTTTAATTGCTGATCTTTTGAAAAGCAAAAGAAAACACGTCGTATTTATAAAATCGATTCTTCTCGTTTCGATTATGCATACACAGAGAAAGATGCATACTGTATTTAAATATTAATTACTTGTTTTAAATATTTTAAAAGTTCATATATCCGCAAATTTATCATAAATTCATCACAAGCATCAAATTTATTTAAAATATATTCTGAATTCTATAGTAAGTTTAATACTTTGATCAAGATTATTAAATTAAAACAAATTCGCGATTTGCTTTATTATATAAAATTATTTTGTTTTCTTTTGACAAAGTTTTATGACATTTTTTTAAAAGAAAATATATTCTCGTTTTGAGTATATGATAAGTTTTTCTCTCTAAAATTTCTAATAAATACACTCTTTACAAATATTACATAATATAACAAATATTCCTTTTCTAAAGATAATCGCGCGTTATTTAAAAGAAAAAAGTAAACTGAATAATCACTTTTCTTAACAGTAGAATGACATTTTTGTGTGTAACCTGACTTTTCGAGTATGCGAGCGTGTAAAAATAATAAATCTGCCCACAAAATTATAGATATATTATAATATTACTGAAACAATCAAGATTTGGAATACATTTCGCTGCGGGATCTTTCTAGTTGAAATTATAATAACAATCTTTCTTTTTAAATTGCAAATCTCTTTCAGAAAGCAAAGGAAAACACGTTGTTTCGTATTTGCAAAATTGATTTGTCTCGTTCTCGATTATGCATTATCGGTGTTCTCTCGGTTGTGAATAAACCGCCCGAGGAGCAGAGTGAGAAAGAGAGAAACCGGTCGGCCGCCGTGCCGTGCGCGCACGCCGGAGGCTCGCGGCGCGGGCCGACCCGCTAATTATGTACGAAATTCATTAGCCCGTGTAAATATGGAGCGGTTGGGTGTATATACACCCGCGTGATACCTCGGGGGATACGCGGACGCGCGGTCTCGTCGCGTACAATGCGCACCGTGCGCGTTGCTCAAACAAGCGACCTGGATTCCGCTTGTGTCCGCATTAAGCGCACAAATTGTTCGCTCATAATACAACCCTTAATATACATTACATACGTCTCAGAAACACTTGGATTAATATTGGGAAGAACATTGTTTAGCGGAAATCTCGGATCTAATTTGAGAAATCAGACTCGTATTCGGAAAGAATGCTTTTACCGAAATATCTTAAAATTTAGAACGCGTTCTTTTGTGTTATAAATGTTTTTGTAATATGATTTAAATTCTACTAATTGCGTTTTGTTAATTCGTTTTATTTATTACTTTTAACATCTTGTATTCTTAGCTCGTTTTAACTGTTTATTTATCATTAAATTTTATATTGTTTTATATATTTCAGAGAGAGTGAAGTAAAAATTATTTTTAGATCTGTATTTTTTATTTTTTAATATTTTATGAAAATCATTCTTTTTATGTCCTTCTCTTGAATTTCGTCGCAAGAATTACTAAGGTAGATTTCGGTTTTCTAGATTTCTTAAATTTATTCAGCGTTCACACCTTTTCTTTGTGTGTGTGATTTCTCAAAACTTTCACTTATAAATCTAACTTCTTTTTTGGTCTTGATTTGTTGCAATGTGTGTTTCACGAAATTTTTTTATCTTTGAAACTAATGGAAAAATTTTGCTTTGATAGTATGATGCAACAATCTTTTTCTAAAAACTTAATATTTTAAATATAAATTTTATGAGCAATTGATATCCTACACTTAAAAAAAAAACGACATAATTGATAATTATAAATATCTCGATTTTATTCAAGTTTTAAGTGTATTAAGTTAACGGAAAGCGACTAGATTTTTAAGCAACATAGAAGAATTGACTGATGTTTGAGTCGCTATTGTTTCTGTATTCTGCAACCGTGTGTTCTAAGCTTAAACGTGTCTATATCTCGATCTTCTGAAATCACAAAGAACTCTACAATTTCTTGTGCAGGCGCTTGATGGACAGAACGTCTACAATTCCTGCTGCACGCTACGCATCGACTACAGCAAGATGCAAAACCTGAACGTTAAGTACAATAATGACAAGTCCCGGGATTACACCAACCCGAATCTTCCGACCGGTGATGCCAGTCTGGATGCGGCATCACTAGCTCTTGGCGGTGAATTGCTGCTGATGGGTGCCGGTTCCCAACCGCGTGCCAGAATACCCGGTGAGTATTGTAAAATTCATACTTGAAATTTTCTATTTCAATCATATTTGCCTTATCCAACAAATAGCTTTTAATTATTTTGGGCATAAGTGAGTATTCCGTACAGACTATGCCAAGACAACACATAAAAGTACAGACTGAGCCAGAAACACAAAAAAATATAAAGCAGTAAGATTTAAACAGTAAGAGAGTCGGCCAATTACAATGAAGAGCGTAAAGTATATAATTCTCTATTGTGATTAGCCGATTCGCTTATTGCTTAAGTCTTGTTACCTTTCATTTTTTTATGTGTTTCTAGCTTTAAGAGTAGATTTTTGAAAGAAACTCATAAAAGTGTCAATCCTCCAATTTTGATAAACTTTTAATATATAGCTTTCTAATTAGAAATAAAGAACACGTATTTTTCATAATTTTTCTTCTATACGGAAATCTGAATCAATAAAAAAACAACAAAATTAATTTGATTATAGCATTACATTTATTCTGCATACTATCAATCATTTTATCAGAGCACAAACAATTACCAACTCTTCGAAAATATTGCTGGGTATGCTCAACTTTATACATCATGAAAATTGCTTAATAAAATATTTATTTAATTCCATAACGTATCTAACCATAAAAATCTATTATACCGTTGAATAGTTATGTATACAAATGTGTATAATGTGTATATATATATATTATACAACGTGGAATAGACCACGTGCGATATGTGATCGATAAACGCGTTAATCGTGGACAATTTTGTGCAGTAATGCTCAATAATAATTGAATATAGTTATATAGTTCGAATTCAAAATTGCTTTGCAAAATTCATCGTTATTAAACGCTAGCGAAATTCGACCGATTCAATTCTGAATATTCTACACACGAAACGTATAAGCGATGAATTACATTACTCTTACACGATTTCGTGCAATAATAATCTGATAATATGTAGTTGAATATGTATTCGGTAGCTCGTGACAGGCGAGCTTTACGGGATTCATCGATGTTAAAACGTCGATTCCGAATGAATTTGAGACGTTTTTGTATTTTTATTTAGCTAGCGTTAAAGCTCGCTTTGTGAAAGGTACAATTGAAAGGTTGATCGGCCAATTAGTGGCGTTACGTTTATCGGAATTAATTACGATAGTAGTGATACCGATTTTACGTCACTCGGACGTCGGGCTGAATTATTATTATTATCTCACGATGGTAGAAGCAATTTGCTGGCGTTTCAAACTACATTCTGTCCGCTACGTGCGCCAGTCGGACGTTATTATTTCCTCGGGTAAATTAATTAATTAGTACAAAGTACTGGGCGGACGATTCGGCTCGCCGAATCGTCTGGATTTTTGCGTTTGTATCGCGGCGACAACGGTTAGTTTAAATTACACGCTCGGCCCAGTGCTTGTTTGGGTTAAATTAATTTCACGGCGTTGTTGTTGGTATTTAATCTGTAACGATGTAATCCACTTTTGCGTCCTATCTCGTTGCGCAAACAGTTCGTTAATGACTGAGGATTGAGGCGATCTCGTGACGGTCGGTCTTCGAAAACCACGAATGAAGAAGCGCGAATTACACATCGATCGAGGAGATGATTGCAGTATCAACGGAACTAATCGATGAATCGCGAAACATAATTATAAACGCGACATTTTACGCTCAGATTTTACTATTCCGCAAATCCTGGAGAGTGGATTGGTTTTTGTCCATCGCGACTTGTTATATTTTCTTTTATTTCTACTTTTTCTATCACAGTATGAGCAATGATAATAATGTTGTCTGAACTTCCTGAAGTAGAGTCCATTGCAGGGGCACCGGGTGTGCTGCCCACGCCCTTTGCCATGCACGGGCTTGCTTCGCCCTTGGCCGGTCCTTACAATGGCGTACCTCCCGCTGGCGGACTTGCCGGTCTTGGCGGATTCCCTCTTGGCGCAGCTGGTCTGGGTGTCCGGGTCCAAGGAAGCGCGCAAGCATCGGCCGTGTTGCTCGTCAGTAATCTCAACGAAGAGGTAAGTATATTTTGAGACTCCAAGCTCTATCTTGACCCCGTTCTTCTCTTCTGCGTTGTTCTCCAAAAACGAGAGGCTGTATAAAACTCTAGCTTGGTATACACGAAGAAAATTCGAGAAATTTTGAAATAATTAGAAAGTTTATACCTTTATTTGCGACTTGCAATTAAAGATCTACCGACAAATTATTGTAACTATCTAGAAATATTTTTCGTTTTCTATATCCAGAATTTTTCTTCGTATACCACCTTCCTATCAATTAGAATTGCATTAAATGCATAGGAGATGGAAGATTCTGTTTCCACTGTTGTGTTCGTTTAACTCTTCATTTCGATTTTTCAAAATGATTTTGTGTTATAAAAATCTGCGCTTTATTGTATAGTGTAAAGTCTCAAAAAAGTCAAGATCAATCGCGTCTTAACTTGGACGTGTTCTCCTCATTTGGAAGAGAATCAGTTCCGACTAAATGTACGAGATGGTAAATACAGCGTAGATTTCTAGACACAACGATACACTGAGAGAAAAGTATTTGGTATTTGTGACTACAATTACATGATAAAATAATTATGGTTAGCTTTATTTTTATAGTTATTACTGCTATAACGTTAGTAACAATAACACTGTGTTACAAGGTTATATATGTTTAGCTGTTGAGAAAGGATATAAAATTAGAAATGTTCCAACTGTGAGAAATCTAGCACTTTATTTATAAAAAGAGCTTTATATCATCACATTTATTTAAAAAAAAAAATGTTCGAATTTTTAAAAAGAAATTTGATTGTAATGGAATTAAAAAAAAATTTTTTTTAGTGTAAAAAATCCTACAAGAAACACTTATTACTTTCAGAAACAAAAAAAAATTGATCGAAATTTGTTTCAATGTGTTATATTTACAGTGTTGTTAAAAAAAGTAATTGACCCCAAAAATGACTATAAATTATAGTTAAATTATGCATGATAATTGTAACTATTTTCTTCTCAGTGTACGTATATGTATGTTTAATGAGACGAAAAGTTAAACGACACACAACAACGGGGGTGTTACGCGAGTCGTTCGAGTAAACCTCGAGCAGCACTGAGAGAAGTAGGCCGCTATCACGTATGAATAAGTATGTTGTATGCGAATAATATATCTGTAGTATGGCATCTGTGTCGTCTCTATGCAGTGTGTATGGGCGCGTGTATGTGTATTCAAGTCCCTGGTCCGCCGTATCTTTGTCGCGAGAACATTACCGTCTTGCTCGGTGCGACACACGCACACATACGCGCAACTCTTCTCTATCTTCTCACTTTTCCCTCTTTATTCTCTTCTCGTTCCCACGTCTCGAGCTCTCGTACTCCCCTTCACCTACCCCTAAGAGACCGCACGCTATTTCTCTCAGTGTGCGACACGCGGGACCAAGTCAACCCCCATCCGGTATATACGCACGTGCATACACGTATAATTACACGGCCTAACGAGCGAGTTACAACGTAGTGCTACGTAGGCGAACCCCGCAATTTCTCGACTCTCCGACTCGATCTTTCCACCGAGCTGAGCTTTCGCCAACTATGAACTTCATGATAGGAGATTGTCTCGCAAGCTCGACAATGTGCATACATTCAAAATCGATCGCTAATGACTAGGAGAACTTGTAATCTGTACTTACGTTTGTTACCGAGATGGAAAATTATCACAAACATTGCCAAATTGACAAATATTTTTTATAAATATGTAGGACAAATTTAGAATAAAAAATTGAACGATAAGGATGTTAAATTATTTTAGAATCACAAGGGAAAAAGTTTGATTTTTTTATTTATTTGAGATAATGGTACGACTTTCCAAGATCCTGTAGTCGAGTAGGTGGAAAAATCGAGCCGCGATGCGTATGTACCCTGTTTTGTCACTTTGACTCTGTCCCTTACTTGCCCCGCTCATTTTCGAAACACATACAAATCACTTCAACGTGTCACCATCCTGCGCCCTAATTAATTCGTAGCGTCGTCGACTAAACGACGTTACTTCTTGCGGGGCGACATTCATCGCGATTTATTTTCTCGTACTTTGGTTCACAATATTCCATGAATGATATTTTTAATATATATCTATTATCTAGTATATACGTTTAAACAATTCTATGTCTTTGTTACGGACATTTATACATGCCCTTCGCTATCAGCTTCTGCATACGAACTTAGATGTAGCGTTCGGTGACAAAAACAACGAACATTACCGCGTAAGAAGCTTCAACGGATGATGAATGTCGCCTCGGCAAGAAACTGTGTGTCGACGTCACACTTCGCAGCTGCAACTTGTCACTACTGTACTATAACTGTGTGTACTACTATCGTTGGGTCGCGCACAAGCTTCGCAGTCTGACGACCACCCTCAACCGTCCTCAATTTTTGTAAAAAAAAAAAGACCACGCGTTTATATCGGAATTCATCAAAAAGTCGATCATATGGATAATTATATCTGTATACACTATAAGAAAATGTTTTTCTTTTCTTGTCCTAATAATTTTGCACGTAGCATTTCTTCTCCGTAGCTACGTGTGAATTTTATTTTGAAAAACGCGAATCTTGTGCGCACATCAACACTATACATTTAAATCCTATTATACTCGCTGACTACTGACTGGACTCTGTCTGTTCTCTGTGTAGATGGTCACGCCTGACGCTCTCTTTACCCTGTTTGGTACGTCTCCACATTTATATTATTAATTATATTACATTATTAATTATTATATTTACACCCTCGCGCTTTCACACCTACACGAAATCCACGGACGCGCGACACGCGACACAAGTTCCAGAGATATCTCGCTGACGCGATTTAATCGAATAGTCAAAAAAGAAAAGGGATAGGAAATGGCAGACGAGGAGACATTCGTCCGAACATTTTTTTCTATTCGAATATAGTCATATTCTTCGCGATAGTGATGAACAAGACAAACGTGTTACACGCACAAAAACGGAACACGACAACGTAGAATTTTTCTCATACGATTGTCACGTCCGAGGTTTACGTTTCATACCGAAAAATAAAAAAAAAAAAAGAAAAGATCTCTTCCTTCTTCCTCGGTTTTATTTTTATTTTATTTTACTTTTTTTTTTTTGGTTTTATTTGTATGGTTTTTTCACTCTCTTTTTTTCTTTTCGGCAACTCACAAAACTCGAGCATCGTCATTTCTTCCCTCTCGTCATGTTTTACTCTCCGTGAGACATCCGCCATATAACATAACTCTAATTAACGTTTAATCCGTACTCTTTCGATATTTTCGTGATTTCAACTTATTTTATTACTACAAGCTACTCCATTCGCAAATTCATAATCACCCGTCATACCGTCATCACCATCGTCATGCCGCCATATCGGCTCCGAATACGTTCTTTCACAGATCTCTATTTCCAGCATCTCTTTATACAGATTATTTCATTAATATTTTATTAATATCAGTTCCACACAACCTTTAATATTACGTAAGCTTTCGCTTATTTTACGTAATTCCATAGGAAACTCACTATTAACGAGGCGTAGCGACTCGGCTGCGGTCGTGTTTCTCCTTTCTGTGAGCGATTGTTATGCAGATTTTCCCGGATAATTGCAGACGAACGTACAAAAGTCACGTACTGCGTTACAGAACGCGTTTTAAAAAATTATTAAAAATTTTCTGTCCGTCCCGTAGACATCCATTTTTCGACTTTTAGCCAGCAAAAATTTCATTCGCTTCACTCGGCAACAACGTAATATCAAAAAATGTAAAATTTAAATGAATAAAGTTTCTGGAAACACATAATAAATTGTTACTGTTTTGTTGATTTTTAATGTTTTTTTTTAACAAAAATTTATTTGATTATGAAGATTAGTAATTGCAAATTATTTATTTACAATTTCTAGCTTGTCTAGCTTTTTTTTAGCGAATTATTATTAAAAAGGAATGTTCTATATAAATGATGTACACTTCGAAATATAATCATCACTAAATATAAGTATCACTCATAAGAAGACTTTTAATACTTTAATTACAATTTTTTATTTTGTCAGTTGAATAACTTTGTACTCTGAAAATAAAGCTTCTAGCCGAATCGCTCGCCTCTTGCATGTCCCGATTCTTAGATCCGATCGTACCCCAATCTCGATCGACCGAAATATTGTCCCGTTCATCTTCGATAACCCTTAGAGCAACCTCTCTAAAAAGAATACGCGATTTGTCGCCACCGCCCGAGTTTACTAAAGAGAACTTTGCGTATTGTGCATATAGGCGTTTATGGGGATGTACAGCGTGTGAAGATCCTCTACAACAAGAAAGACTCGGCACTAATACAGATGGCCGAACCTCATCAGGCGCTTTTAGGTGAGTGGAAATTTTTTGCTATGTGTAACGATAATTTAAAATTGCATTTTATCTTGTAAATAATCCATTTACTTAACCTTTAACTACAGCAGCGGATTATTTAGAACTGATTTAGACCGAACTAAAAATATTTGGATGTGCTTGAACAGTAAAAAACATTCTGGTTAAAAATAAAAAAGATTTTGATCATATCAATCAATAGAATTATAATAAACTCAACCAGAAAATTCTAATTTTTATCCATTTCCAACCAGAATTCCAATTAATGCAATCAAACTCTTTTCAATGTACTATATAATTGATATTATGATGTCCTAAATTATCGGCAAAAAATCTGAAATTTTGTCTGTTAATACGATCTATAGCACTATGTATTTTATCTTACTGGATTGTGTATTTTAGTAAATTATTAGAATTGCACCACAAAATTTCTATTATAATTTACTATAAGCAATTCGGTAGAAAAATATATCGTGTGCCGTAAGCTTAAGACAGAGGTTTACAAAAAAATATTTTACTTTAAACGAAACGTTTTAAAATTTACGGTTTTTTTATAGCTGTAGTTCAGAATCTTTATATATTGAAAAAAATTATTTCTATATACTCTCATTTTTTTTGTGAGGAATTAGAAGTTTTTTTTTTATTTAGCACAGCTGTATGATACTGTAATCATGTTAACATTCGAACATATCAATGATTAATTAACATTGTTTAATCTATATAATAGCGCTAACCCATATGGACAAGTTAAGAGTGTTTGGAAAGCAAATCAAAGTAATGCTCAGCAAACACCAAACGGTTCAATTGCCAAAAGAAGGTCAGCCAGACGCGGGCCTCACGAAAGATTACACCAACAGCACTCTTCATCGATTTAAGAAACCCGGTTCGAAAAACTATCAGAACATCTATCCACCAAGCTCGACCCTGCATTTATCAAACATTCCGTGAGTAATCCAACAACAATACATATTTCGCACTGCTTCTCCTGGTGGCTTAACGACATTCAATTTGCTCTTTCAGGGCTACGGTAGCGGAGGAAGAGATCAAGGATGCTTTTACCAAGAACGGCTTCACCGTGAAAGCCTTCAAGTTCTTCCCGAAGGACAGAAAGATGGCTCTTATACAAATGCCTAATATGGACGATGCCGTGGCTGCGCTGATCGTAAGTCATCATTGTTGTTCTCAATAGCCCAAGTCGAACTGTGGCCTGATGAAAAGCTTATGTGGATCTTGACTTTTTCCTTATTTCATTATAGTTGCAATTTTTATAAAAAGGAATTATAAATCTCTTGCTTAACTTTCATTCTAGAAAAGCTTTGTTTTTAAAATTCATTTATGTAATTGTATTATTTAAAAATGTTCTGTTTAATAAACAATGTAGTACCGTGAAATATCTATCTCTTTAAAATTTATTTCATGTCTTGGATATTTTGTTTCTGTCATAAAGTGGTACATTTTTTTTCTTCATATTCCTAATGTTATATTTATGGGTTGCAATTTCGAAAATCAAACTCAGATTTTTTACTCAACAAACAAGCTAGTGTTAAGCTATTCAGTATTCCACTGATTATAAGTAGTTTTCATAATTAAGTCATGATTTTTACAAGAAACGATAATTTTGATTTTCCAACTAAAAATAAAATTTCTCAGGACATCGAGTTTATAAAAAATGTACATATCGATTCTGCTTACATTATGCCTTTGTATTTCTCGCAAGTATTTAAAAAAAAAAAAGAAAGTAGAATGAAAACGTCTTAATTTTACCTTAAATCTAATTTAAAGTCAAATCCATGAAATGTAAATTCCAGTTGTTTAACTTTAAAATCGATTTGTTTTTTCCTTCACAGAAAATGCACAACTATCAGCTTAGCGAGTCCAACCATCTCAGAGTGTCGTTCTCCAAAAGCAACATCTAACAAGAATCGCCACCGCACGAGCAGCATTGGTACCAGCCATACGCCCTAGTTCCCCTTTGGTCACCCGCTTCGGTCTACGACTGATGATCGCATAGTTGGATCTACTCAGGTGCTCGTCCGTTTCTGCGAGAGTCACTACGCTGTTGCTGGCCTGCATTGCAGGTGTAACCCATGCGGGACTGCGTTGTACTCGGACTTTGAAGCAGCACAAGCGGACAGGAAGCAACCTTGTCCGAGCGAGCTTAGGATGTTTTCGAGGCCTTGCCCTTGTTGTTGGGACGTCTATATGGCATGCACCTGTTTTCGCATCCGGTTGAATCTGACGATTTGAAGGGTGTTGCTAGGGTGTTTCGAGATGTACCAGGGCTGCAAGCGCTCAAATTAAACGATGAAGAGGCAAATTCGCGACGGCCTTTTCGAAGGTAGTTTCCGGTACTGGCTTTCGAGCGTATTAACGCAACAGTTTCATAATTTTAGAAATATGTATGAAATTTAGAAACAGACAAAGATCGCGGACAGGAAGAGAGAGAGAGAGAGAGAGAGAGAGAGAGAGAGAGAGAGAGAGAGAGAGAGAGAAAATCGCGATTATTCTTATGAAAGCCAGGACCGTCGCAGGAAGAGAGAAACACAAAGAGAGAAAGTGAGAGAGAGAGACAGAGATGCAGAATAAAACGAAGAGCCTAGCAGCCGGGCATACATAGAGCATGTGTAAGAGAGGAAAGAGAGATTAGGATTAGACGGGAGCGAGGAAACAGCACAGTGTCAAACAGTCCTCGACTCTTGTACAGAATTAACGCTAGGAAAGATAAGATATATTATTATATATGTAAAATTCATGATCGCGCGGCTCAAACCGCTACCGTGATTATGGTTAAAAATTTTTCAAAGTTACGTGGACACAAGGGCAACCATCTTGCGATAAGCGCGCGCGACGGTGTCCGTATATCACAGTTCGGAAGTAGGTCTCCGTTGTCGATGTGCTCGTTCGGCGAACGAATTCGAGAAGAAAAACCAAATAGGTACAAATGGACCGCGAGGTATCTCGACGATCGTCGTACGTTCACGCGTAACGCGACAGCCGACTACCGTAAACCAGCAGCGTTTCCCACGAGACAATCTTCATTCTTCTGACGACCAAACACACGTGCGACCGAGCGTACTTCTTCGTGGCTTCCGTTCTGTTTCGAGGGCGAGACAATACGATCGACGAGGTTGACCGATCGAGTACGACAGGAACGACGTGTTTTAATTGACCGGGTATCTAAGTAAAAAAAATGGCCAATGTCACGGGACCTTTTGCATGCTTTCACGAGGTACTACTACTTCGCCGACGAACCGATCGCCTTCAATTGATTTTACGTCGCGAGATTGGCAGCGGCCAAAATTGGAGAAGAGAGTTGAAAGTGGCGGAGAGCCGAATCGGCCTTCAAAATTCTTCTCGTATCCGTTACTTATCGCGATTGGTTGATCTGTTCGTAAGGCGGAAGCGAAGCAATTATCAAAGTCGTTCGTTGCGTGCTGAGAGCTATCCTAATTGGGGTATGCCACTCCAAACGTATAGCCCGCTCGATCTATGTTTTCTGTTTCTTCGCGGGGCCGGTTTCTCGCTCCCGAAGGTACCTGCAGTATTCTCGACTACTCGGCGAAGTCGAACGCTTCTTAGGGAAGGATCGAGCGGTGCCTGAACGTTCAATGACCGAGGCGAGTTCTCCGCTCCGCAGGCCCACGCGACGCGTTTGCACGCGTCATCGTACGGTCGTCGCAGATGGCATTTTTATAATTTGTACGTTTCAGTTTGGAGATAAGTATTATAACGCACCCGCACACGTATCCGCGTCTTTACGAGACCGTACAATTATGCAGTTATACGTACACGGACACAAGACACAAACAATCACGCACGCGCCGCGCGCGAAGATAAATGTTTCGACCGCCCTCTGATTTATATACACACATACACATAAATACACACAGACGCATAGATACAACTGAATGCGCGCAGATTTCTTAGTTAGAATAGATGCTTAGGCATGTGTTAGGATCTTAATCATATAGTAAGCGACTAGATAAGTAATTGACTAGGAGAGGAAGGAGTGAACTGTTGAACATATCGCTAATTAAAAAGTTTGCAACGTACGGGGCGCGCGCGAAAAATTGGTACCGGTCGTAGCGGATCAACGAGTGGCACTCAAGATATTTCGAGGATGGTTCGCATCAATGGACAGTATTCGTATGAAGAAGAGAGAGATACTATCATGTCTCTGTGCCAACGATAGGTCTATCGTTTGACGAGCTTTGATCTACCCCATCGAGAGAGTTCCTGATATCAAAGCATTCCTTCAGTAGTCGGTGATTGTGAGGGTTCCCCGTAAATACAAGCGAATATCTCGAGAAAGCATTGCACATGCGCGGATTGGTATTCGAGGAGGCGATCATCATTTGATTAAACAAACCATTTGCAACGTTGAGTTCTTGTTGGACAAAGCGTTGAACAGAAAAGCAAAGTAATACGTTAGAATTGTATTTACGGAGATTTAGTAGAACCGTGTAAAATCGATTGGGGTGGTTTTCAAGGTATCTGGAGTGTCCTCGCCGAGAAGCGCGAAACGGAATTTAGATCGGGCGTCACGACATTGAAGACAATCGATCTTGTTTCTGTTAAGAATGAGAATTCTGAAGTCTTTAAACGAAATGTGCGCGCCGGCGAAGTCCACGGGTTTCTGTCTAATCGACGTTCTGTTGGAGTCAATTAAATTTTACTGATATAACGTAACTGATCGTAGAGAGAAGTAGGAAAAGGATTAGTGTGTGTTGGAAGGAGACTGTTATGCAAAGGCGTAACTGAATTGAGCGAGAGGGAGGGAGAGAAAGGAAAAGAATAATTGCGCGAGTGAGAGAAAAAGAAACGGAATGAAAGAGTTGTATTCACGTCAAATGTAGTATCACGCGACTTTGATGGATATTGAACTATATAAAAGGGTAGGAAGAGGAGTTTCTCCAATCCGAGAATCGTGCAGCGACCTACAAGGCAGGGAGGGAGAGTAACGAAACTGTGAAAAAAAAAAAAAAATATATAAAATAAAGCGAATGCCGGCTCGGGCATGGTGTGCTGTTTGTGCCAAAGTAGGCTAGCCGATAAAACTCTAGAATGGGATCTCTTGGTGAGCAGTGCGAATGGGATATCCCTGTTCGATCGCGCGGACGCCGATTTCCGGGGGTTCCTTTTGCACGGTCGTTTCCGCCGGGACCCCCTTCGATCGGCGGTCTCGTCTTGATCGAGTACCGACCAATCAGCTAGTTGTTTAGAAACGTAGCGGGTAGCCGGCATGAGCGAAGGGGCCAGTCTTTGCATCTATGATCTGTGTCTTTCGGACCTCTGATACTACGTTATTTACTTCGACTGCATTTATACATTCTTAACCGGACACACGTTCCGAGCACCCGGATTGCAACGTCTATCACACGAGAGATATTCACGACACTTACACGCACATACACAGACATACACATGCACACTTAAGTAATACACAAAATACACCTCCGCATTCGCCCACGGATGTACATACAGAATCCAGCGCGCGATTCAGCTTTTATTTGGCCGAATAAGGTAGATTCTTCTCGTTTTAGGTGGCTCGCTTAATTCACTGTGTATTGATCTAGGAATTTAAGAAGCTTCTCTTACACTATCTACTTTATCTGTCTCATTTGGATCGTTTTTCGTGCGGGACCTTTAAAGCATCTTGTAGCAACTCGCGCGCTGACGTTTACACGTTTGTATTTCCTTGATTCTTATCGCATATCGCAGAACATAGCGTGAGAGTGCCACAAGGAGGGAGGAAAAAAGAGGAAGAGACTATGTGAGGAGGAGAGCTTTCGTACAATTCTTACTTCCGGCACGAATATCGTCTAAGCGTACCTGAACAGCTCGCACAGAGTGTTACTCGATTTCCCGAGCTAATATATATATATATATTATATATTTCGATTTATACATACATACATACATGCATATATATACACAAACAGGCGTATATCCTTTCCGTGAATCGCCAACGTCGAGCACCCACCATTCACGCCAGGTCGCTAATTACGTTTTATCGCTTGTCGGCCGTTTCTTAGCACATTCCTGTCGACGCGTACAGCACGCGTCTGTACACATTAATCCACACGAAATACACAATACACGTAACGATCCACGTAAACGCACGCACCCAGCGTTTTGTCCCTATCTTCGTCTTTCTCTTTCGTTTTTGGAATTTCTTATCATAGAACGACGTAAACCCGAATGTTATTTTCTCTTTTTTTCTTTTTTTCTTTTTTAATCATTCACGCCACACTAATGGTGACAATCAGCTCTTCTGCTCGCAGGAGGAATTTGGCGTAAGATTTCTCCGGAGCGTTATCGCCCAAAGTAACTCGTTTTGACGAGCGGCGCGAGTCGTTCTTTCCGATGGACTTATTATTATTAGTAGAAAAATGTCGTACCGGAAAACGGGACAGCTATATTACGGAGCTATAGATATCTACAGGGTGCCCGACGTTAAATCGCACATCTATTCGGTTTATTCTATCGCCATTACGATACACATTAGATCGGCCTTCCTTCTTTCCGCTCGGATGGTCCTCGCGTGGTGGGCAAAAATAAAAAGAAGAAAAAAAGTGATGAGGAAGAGGAGGCACCCTGTAGACGGATAGATCGACTATATCACTAGCTGGGTTGAGGGGGGCCGAGGTGAGGGTTGGAGTAGCCAGCACTCGCTACATGGTGTCGTAGATTATTCAGACTCCGAAATTTCCCCAGACTCGTCGCGCGAGGAATCGGCCGGTGGTGGTTCAGCAAGAGTACACTTTCATCCCTCCCGCGACGTAGACACTTTCGCGTATCCAGCAGGATCTCCGGTAAAGAATTCCGCAGGTGGACGATATCGTGCGAATCAACAGAGAATACGACGGGAATTTTTGTATGAAAGAAGAAGCGATTTCTATCGAGCAAAGGTATTCAGGAGCATTAGGACTCAGACACAGTAACTGTGTCCAATAAATAAAACAATTTTGCAACTGTTGTAAGATTATTTAATACGATTGGCCTTGCTCTTAGTTTCTTTTACTAGGTCTAAATGTCTAAATCAATCATATTAATAAATCTTACAACAGTTGCTAAGCTGCTTTTCTTGCTGAACGCAGCAATTAAAAAATACAGACAATAGAAACCAGGAATAACATACAGGTAATAGATTTCTACCTATTACAGAAACCGAGTAGTATCAATGCACAACAATTTTCGGAAAATGATGATCTACTGCCTGTGTTATTCCCTATTTCTGTTGCCTATGTTTTTTATTGTGTTTGAGTTCTTAATATTTTTATTATCCTGACATGAGTGTCTGTCTTCTGTCAAACAAAATTTTGCGTTTTGACGATCGCTCAGTTCGTTGACTCTTGAGGTCGAGAAAGAGTCGCGGGACACGGAGGAGATCGGCAGCGCGGCAACGTCGATGAGACGTCGCACTCGGACCAAGGAAATTCGGGGTCTGGTAGAGAGCCACGTTAGTAGAAGCTTAGCCTACACACAGAGGGTATCCACTAATCCATTTATGTACGCAAGATATACAAGCAGACACACACACGCTCCAAACGTGAGTCGTGCACATATACATGCACACACAGATCCAGACACACACATACATTTACAGACTTACATCTATTATATATTTGATATATCGCATTGTAACAGGTGTATCCTGTAAAGTGCGGCAACAATCCGGATAATTTATATTTTATTAATAAGGGATAAGTCTATATATAGGGTTACTAACGTGTTACGGATTATCACATAAATTAGAGAGAAGATTAATCTATATAAATATATATATAAATATATATTATATAATGCGCGGCGGAAATTCAAGTACATAGAAATGGCAAGAACGGAGGAGGAACACGCACGTGAACACGCACATACACACGTACATACGATACGCAACGTTAACGTGATTGGAAGTGTGAGGTATAAAAAAATATATGTATATGATGAGTTTTAAATGACTATATCTGTACTATCTTAGGTATATCGTTGAGAAAATTATCAGAATATGGTCTGCTTACCTAATCGGGGCCTTAGGCGTCGTTCAAACCGAGAAAAGAACGGATCTAAAATGACACGCGTACATCGAGCCGACGCGATGGCGTCTCCGTTTTCTCGCGTCAAATTCTTTTTCCATGTGTCAAAATGAGGGAATATCGCGATTCGCGAGAAACCTCTTCTTCTAGTATTGGAAGTACGATTTGGATGTTACATGGTAATTGGCGGTCAATAGTAAGAAAATATTTTGACGACACCCGTACAGTACGGACCTCTAAGAAGCATCTTAAAGACGTTCAGAGAACATTCTATGTTCTAAGGATGTTCCTAGGATGTTTCTCGGAATTGTGCTGTGTGAGCATACATGTGCGAACATACACGACACGCACAAACACACATATTACACTTTCACTTATATGGAGAAACTCGGCTCGAAAAATTAAAATAAGTATACACTAGTTTATCGCGAGAGAGGAGAAGCATTTAAAAGACACACAGGGTCTCCAAAGTGCGGACAGTAACAAAAGTCTTTTGGATAGAATGTCGACCTAACCCTTACAGAAATCCAATACTGATCAATTTAATATTGAAAGATAGCGATTAGTTATTTATTTTGAATGTTAAAAGCACTGAACACACAGTATTTTTAATACTCAAAATAAGTAGTTAATTACTATCTTTCAGTTTTAAATTTCTATAAGGAAATACAGTAGATCGTAACCGACGTGTGTTTTAATAAAGAATCAGGAGGATCGAGATAACGATCTGTCAAAATGCCTCGACATGCTGCAACATTAAAATAACCACAATTGGATAACAATCCGCAAAAACTTCAAATACCAAAGAAAAGAATTTGTGAAGATTATATTTTACTTTTGTATCAAAACGCCAACAGTTTGTATCTCTCTTGCTTGGATAATGCTGCTAATTCTTATATTTGACTCTCTTCTAGATTGGCACTGTGGTTGTTATCTCGATCTTTCGGGCGCGGATGGGCGAACGGAATGCAAGGTTTCTTTTTTTGCATACATAACGTCTCGATATCGCGCAGGTCGCTGGGACACGCGGATTATTCGTTGATGTATGTGTTGACTGAATGATTTCGCGATTTTCTTGCCTGCTCTTGCTTTCACGAGAGTCACATTAATTTATATCTCGAGGACAAAACGGTAGGACCGCGGACGAACGAGCGATCAATCAACTTTTGTCAATCATCATCTTACCTTCGTTTACGTTGAAGGGAACGGTTTGACCGCGTCCTTACGTCTCGGTTTCTCGATGGGTTTCTTATTTTAAGGGGGGAAAAAGCGAAGAAAGGCCTCGATGAAATGGAGCCGCTATCAAATATTTCGAATAGTACCGAGACTGTATCGCTATCGCTATCGCCATGCCAATATAACCAAGTATACCGTAAGAGAAAAGGAACGAACATAGAGGTAAACAATTCAATGGAGCCTAATTTTCGAGGTGATAAAGAAAGAGAAGTAGTGAGATGAAGAGATCGTTCAGAGCCTCTGGTGACACCTTTGTAAATGTATAGGATATCTGTTTGTTTTTTCTCGATTAGCGCGCGTACAAAGGACGGCTGAATTTTAAAAATACTGAAAAAACACTGTACGTTAGTCAGTGAGAATTGTAGAAATTAACTAAGCAGTAGTCGTTAAGACGATGATAAGCGTCGCTTGAGGGAAAAAAGAGGAAGTGGAAAAGAGGCACGATCCTGTAACGAAGAATTGTTAGCGTAAAAAGAAAAAAAGAAACGTTAGTAGCGTCTTAGAGTCGTGTAGTAGATCCTTTCTAATTAAGCCTCCAGACTTAAGTAATGTGTATAGTTAAATGACAATCACTCGACTTTCTGTATCGACAATTGACGAAGGGAATCTCGGAAAAGCCGTGATAAGCTGCCTACGCACCGAACCCCTTTCTTCGTGTTTCCTTCTTTTTCTCGGTCCCCCTATTCCTATCCCCCTGTTCCGCAACGAGACTTT